TGTGTGTGTGTGTGTGTGTGTGTGTGTAGAGAGAGAGAGAGATGTAGATCTATCTATCTCTATGTAAACTTATATAGAGATAGATAATCTTATAACATTCCCTACTTGACAGGAAACAAGTTTTTTTAAATATATATTTTTATTGATTTCAGAGAGGAAGGGAGAGGGAGAGAGAGATAGAAACATAAATGATGAGAAGCAGTCATGGATCAGCTGTCTCCTTCATGCCTCCTACTGGGTATTGAGCCCACAACCTGGCTATGTGCCCTGACTGAGAATCAAACTGTGAATTCCTGATTACTAGGTTGACACTCAACTCCTGTGCCACACAGCTGGGCAGAAAGGAAACAAGTTTAGATTTAAAAACAGACATTGGTTATATATTCCTGCCATTTGTACAGAAGCTTTACTCTGAAGAAGAAGGCAATTAGTTGGGTGTGGTTTAGAACAAATAAAGTATCCTCAGTATCTACAGGGACCTTGGTGGCTTCCTTTTTTATGATAATTTCAACTTCTCCCAAACTATCAGTGAGATGGGGAAACACCTTGGAGGAACCCTATGCTTGCTTTTGTTTTGTTTTTTCTTTTACTAAATCCTATTTCAGGTTCCTATAATTAAAGTGGACAGACTTCTCTACAGGGGCTTTCTTGGGAACTTTACTGAGTAATCTGTTGCTTTGCTCTCAAAAACCAGTAGGTATATTAATTGGAATAGGTTAGAACAGCCAGGATCACATGTTCTAACAGTTAAATTTTCTTGTGAAACCGTCAGGGTTATGGAGAAAATTGGGGGCAATTGCTGTTTCCTCTCTAGCTGAGATCAGTTGTTTTTTTTTTTCAAAGGGAACTGTTATAATTCCTAGTATCATTTTCTCTTTAGTCAGTAGGGAGGGATAGTGGAGGAGACAGAAGGGTAAGGAAGAGGGAAGGGAAAAGGTAAGTCTGGACAAGAAAGCTCAGTAAAGGATATAGTGGAGGAGCTATAAAAGGAGGGAAGAATGGGGTGTAGGCATTTATTAGTTACAGAATAGTTCAGAGACAGTCTCTAAAATTTCTTACTAATTTCTTTTTGTTGTTGTTGTTAATCCTCACCTGAGGATATTTCCATTGCTTTTCAGAGAGAGTGGGGATGAGAGAGAGAGATACATTGATTCAAGAAAGACACATGGATTGGTTGCCTCCTATACACTCCCCAACCAGGGGCAGGGATTGAACCCAGGTTACATACCTTTGACTAGGGATTGCATGCATGACCTTTCAGTGCATGGACCAATGCTATAACCACTGAGCACACCTGCCAGGGTCTTATTAATTTCTTTTTAAACATAACTTATCTTTGCTTCTCCTTAGAAGCTTCTACTTTCCAAATCAAGATAACGTTCCAATTTATTCATTCAGTTTAATTCTAGAGCCAGCATTTTTCTAACTTTTGCATGCAAAAAAATATTTTAGGCACCAAGACAATTGCATTTTGTACCATTTAAAGTTGATATTATTTCTAGTTAAATCTTCCCATTTCTGTAAACCACTTGCCAAGTAAAGGCTTACTATCAGGAGTGTTAATGAGGGCTGGGGTCTGGGAATTTCTGCCTTTGCCAACACAACTTCCCATGTTAATTTTAGGGTTTTGTTTTGTTTTGTTTTGTTTTGAGATGCCTGCAGAGTCTGAGCAAATTTTTTTTTTCATTTTCTTTTTTTATTCAGCAAATTTTCTAGGGATGTTATGTAGTGGGTCACAGTGTGCTGCTTATGTGTTGAGCTTTAGTTATAGTTGAATTGGAATTTCCCTATGGTGCTGTCATGAGAAATTACCTCTGAGACCTCCATAAATATTCCTAGTTGCCTAAAAATACCTGAGCTTCGGGCTGGAGGAAAGAAGTGTCGCTTTATCCTTGGAGCTGAATGAGTTTAGCTCTCATTTATATAGCAAAGGTTTTTGCTCAGACTCTCAGTAAGCAATTCCAATAGAAAAGACAAAGTTAAAACCAGAGACACATTTTTTTCCTTCTTTCTCCTGTTAGCCTAGGTTCTGTTGACCCTTAGCCTTAATTCCACCTTGAGAATTTAAAAATACAGCACAAATAAAGTCAGAACCTCTACCACAAGCAAGGGAAGGTCCTGGGATTCAAGAGACAACTCACCCAAGTTCACACTATGGATGAGAAAATTGTTGGCTTAATGAGCCTTTTGCTGGATCCTAGCACCAGGTGCAGGTTCGAGGGGTGGTCTGCATGAGCTTCTTTGGAAAACTAACACACTATGCCAAGTAAGTACCAACATAAACATTCAGACCTGTGAAGAATATTTGTGATTATTGAGCCTCCTGATAACAACTGCTGGGAAGCAAAATCTCAATGATGTGGACAAAATGAGGCTACACACTAAACCTGACAAGCTCAGAGAAGGCTTGTGTAGGGGCTTTGCAAACTCAGAGACTTAAAGTAACCACGAAGGATGGTCTGAAATTAAAACTTTTTAAAACTAAAAACAGTTTATGGTGGTTAGTCATGTACTAAACTAGAATCTTCCCTGACAAAAGTCAATGTTTACCTTAACCAAGCCTGTCTTACTGTCTTTTAAATCTAAGATAGCATTCCTTTTTCCAGACCCCTTAGGGCACAACCAATGCACCAGGGTGGAGACCATAAATCCTCTCATTTTTTTTTATCATGTTAACTAGAGGTAGAGTGCACAACATTCATGCACTTGGGAGGAAGGGATCCCTCAGTCTGGCCTGAGCCCTTTAGTAGTCCAGGAGCCCTCGGGAAATGCCCAACTGATGGCTTAGGCCGCTCCTGGTGAGCTGCAGTCAGACATCCTTAACGTTGCGGGAGAGGCTCCTGCCACCATGGCTGTACTCACCAGCTGTCAGTCTGGCTTCTGGCTGAAGGGCACTCCCCCTGTGGGAGCACACTGACCACCAGGGGGCAGCTCCTGCATTGAGCATCTGCCCCCTGGTAGTCAGTGCATGTCATAGCCACTAGTCATTCCACTGTTTGGTCGTTTTGCATATTACCCTTTTATTATATAGGACTAGAGGCCCGGTGCACAAAAAATTTTG